AGCCTTCAGCTCTTCAGCCTTCAGCTCTTCAGCCTTCAGCTCTTCAGCCTTCAGCTCTTCAGCCTTCAGCTCTTCAACCTTCAGCTCTTCAGCTTTCAGCTCTTCAGCTTTCAGCTCTTCAGCCTTCAGCTCTTCAGCCTTCAGCTCTTCAGCCTTCAGCTCTTCAGCCTTCAGCTCTTCAGCCTTCAGCTCTTTGTTCCTTAACAAATTCAGCATTTTTGACGTAGATTTGCGTAGTCGTTAACTCTTTTACTAATAATTTGATGAAAATTCAAAAATAAAATAGATTATTATAGTCATTCAATAATCTCCTCTTGAAAACTGGTACAAAATTATCGAGATCTTTCTGCGAAATGAATAACAAAAGCCTTAAAAAACTTAACACCAAAAACAATTGTCATTAAAAATGAGAAATTCAGTGTTGATAGTTTATATGACTGTTTATACGACAAGCTTATGACTGTTTTTACTAGATTTTACTAGATCAAAACCTTATCTAGTAGTAGCAAAAGCAAGTTTCAAAGAGTTGCTTAGATAATCGATTTCTTAGATAATAGATAATTAGATAGATAATAGATAATTAGATTTCCTTCTCTTCCTCCTTATATTTCCTCTTTTGTTCTCTGCCAAGAAGATACCAAATAGCTCAGTTTTTAGAGCATTTGCCCGAAAAGCTATCGATCGAAAGCTTCAATCCCCTCTCTAGAAATCTTTACCATTCCTTACTTTACGCCGACAAAGTTATAGCGAAATGAAATGACTAGATTAAGCTAGAACCCAGATCAGTTCAAAGCAAGCAAGCAAGTCTTGCCAATTTGTTTTTCCTAATTGTAATCAGAAAAGAGATAAATCCCCACAGCATACCCACTTCTAAAGCGATCAAATATTTTCGATAATTGTGTCCTTTTGGCGGAGTTGCTTGAATGATAACAAAAATCGTCATAATCGTAACAATCGATGAGATTATAGAAGGTACAAATTGTAGCACTTCATTGCCAGAAAGGGGATTCTGAACCGACATCTTAGATATTCAATTTATTAGAAATATTTTGACTAGAATGCGCTTGACTTGTAAGAAAAATTTATAAATCTATTTTCAAATGTCGGCAGATTCTTTCTTTCTTGAACAGGTGTAAATTTGAGTATCGCCCACTTATATGCTGAAAGTAAAAATGCAAAAAAAATTATTCAATGTGATTAATTCGATAAAAAGCTACTGTAATCTCGACAAACTTTGTCCTTTTTTCAAATTTGTTTCCTAAAAAGTTTTCTCTATCTTTCTGCGGTAATGCTCTATCTTTTATCTATAAACACAAAGATAGGTTTCCTTAGCGCAAAGTGTCGAAACCCGTATCATTAAGTAGTCTTTTTGACTACCCGACTTTGAGCCCCAAAAAAAAGATCTAGACATACGACATTTTAAACTTATTTTGCAGAAAAATTATTGAGCTTTCTAATGAAAGAAATCACAGTTTAATTGGTGTAAAATAAACCATAGTCCATAGTTTTTTAAGCGAAAATTAAAAAGGAACAGAAAAGACTTCTTTGCTAAGCTAATATCTTTAAAGTTTAAGCATAAAACTAATCAGAAAACAAGAAAGAATTTACAAGTGTCATCTCAAATTTACACTAATTAACTTTTGGTTTTCTCTTAATAAAAAGTGTTTATTGTTCAATTTCTATCTTTTTCAGTCAATTTCGATTCACTTTTAATCAAATTCGAGTGTGAAAACACGTGTTTTGCACAAAAATCTATAAAAACCCCTACAAAGATATTGACCGAAGCGATTACTCTGAAAATTTAACTATAAGTCTAACTTTTTGTGCTCTATCTTTTATCTATAAACACGAAAATAGGTTTCCTTAGTGTAAAGTGTTTAAATCGTATCATTGAGTAGTCGTAGCGTATCTTTTTGGACTACCCGATTTCGCTCTCAAAATGTAAATCATTTTAAAGTCATTTTAAAGGCGTTTTAACTCTTTTGCAGAAAAATAAATGACCTTTTTCAATGAAATAAACCATAGTCAATTCGTCGTCTATTTGTTGGTTTTAAACGAAAGTCGAAAAAGGAATGATTTTCAGCCTAAAAGCTAAAAGCGAAAAGCTACAAGCTACAAGCTACAATCTAGTGCCCGATGCCAAAGTTTCACTAAAGCTCGTTCACATGGAGCTGAGCTGGGTAACGCAAAAGCAAACTGCACTTAGCTGCTAAGAGTGGAATGAATATGTACCTTATTTTAAAACTTGAGCTCAAAGTCATCCTTTAAAAGCTCTAATCTAATCAATTCTTAATCAATCAATCAACCAAACTCTTAAATCTAATCAATTTTTGAATTTAAGATCATTATATAAATCATATATTCAAATTTCTTTCATCATTTCTTTCATTTCTTTAAAAGTTCTTCAACTAAATGTCATTCTGATGTAATTCATTCAAATGAATCGGTCTTTTTCTTTCAATTGAAAGATATTCAAGAATAAGCAGAGGGGAAAAGATATTCAGTAAAAGAAATCAAAAGAAAGACAAATCAAAGAAATATTGAGAGATTTTTAGAAATTTAGAGAAAAAGAGAAAGAGCAAAAAGCTTTTCGCTTTGCTCAAAAGATCTCCTCAAATTCTTCACAGACATTGTACTATCACAATGAGATTTTTACTTTAATATTTTTAACCATATAAATCAAATTCAAATGACTTTAGGCTAGTTTTTTATTTGAAATTTTTCAAAACATTTTGAAAATGAGGCTTTTATTTTTCTTTTTTTCTGCTAAACTTTAGTTTTCATAAAGTTTAGAGTTATTTTGATTCATAGTCAGAAAGTTTAAAGTTTAAAGTCATTTGAATTTATAGACATAAAGTTTAAAGTTATAAAGTTATAAACTTTTAAAGTTTAAAGTTATAAAGTTATAAACTTTTAAAGTTTAAAGTTTAAAGTTATAAACTTCTAAATTTTAAAGTCATTTTCATTTATAAAGTTTAAGTTTAAAGTTTAAATTTATAAATTTTAAAGTTTAAAGTCATAAAGTTTGAAGTCTTTTTAATTTATAGTCATAAAGTTTAAGTTTAAAGTTTAAAGCTATAGAGTTCTAAAGTTTAAAGATTAAAGTTTAAAGTTATAAATTTTAAAGTCTAAAGTTCTAAAGTTTAAAGTCCAATTTATAGTGATAAAGTTTAAGTTTAAAGTTCTAAAGTTTAAAGTTTAAAGCTATAAAGTTCTAAAGTTCTAAAGTTTAAAGCTATAAAGTTCTAAAGTTTAAAGTTTAAAGCTATAAAGTTCTAAAGTTTAAAGTTTAAAGCTATAAAGTTCTAAAGTTTAAAGCTATAAAGTTCTAAAGTTTAAAGTTTAAAGCTATAAAGTTCTAAAGTTCTAAAGTTTAAAGCTATAAAGTTCTAAAGTTTAAAGCTATAAAGTCATTTTAATTTATATTCATAAAGTTCAGTCATTTTGATTTATCAATTTCCAAAAAAATCGATTCCCTTTCTTCATTTGATTTAAAAATTTCAATTTACAAGTTTTTTCTCAAATTTCTTTTCCGATTTCGATGGAAATCTGATGAAATGAGGGAATTTTGCCTGAAGCCTCAAAATAATTGTTTACTTTCTCAAATCAAATCACTTTTCTATACTCAGAAGATTTGTTGGATTGAATTGTGTTCAGAGGCACTTCAACAGAATTGCTCTTTATAAAATTAATTTTGACAAATTCTCCTCCTTTAGTTATTCTGATAGATTGGAACTCTGGTCTTGAAATGTTACACCAACGCCGCCTTATCATCGATTTAGTGGAATGCTTTAAAATTGTTAAAGGCATTCATCCCGACCCCCTTTTTTCTGGCCTCTTTGAATTCGGCTCTCTACAAGGCCTCTACGGGGCCTCTACGGGACCTCTACGGGGCCAGAAGAAGGCCTAATACTCCAACCTTCCGTTTCCTCTAAAAGCCCCCACAGTTTCTTTTTCTTTTAAATTCTGGAACATTTTACCCACTCATGTTCGTCATATTCCCACCTTGGCTAGATTTAAAGCTGCAATTCCTCTAAAAGCTCTCAAAGTTTCTTTTTTAATCGAGTTATTAAATTGTATTGGGTTGGGGAGAATGAGTCGGCGCCGAAAATGAAAGAAATTTCTAAAACTTATAGCAGACTTTGTCAAATGATATGCGTTTGATATCCGTAGAAGGGTAACTAATTCTCCACAAAATAATATTTAAAAGAGAACTCAAACAGCGCCTCAACTCAACAAAGGATCATTTTTTTTCACAAAATCGATAAACTGTCATCTAGAGTAAACGGTTGGAGGGATCTTCCTGAAAATTTGGTAACTTATGTAATTGAGTGTGCTCTATCTTTTTTATATAAACACCAAAGGAGGTTTATGTGGAAGAAACTGTTCAAGCAATGAGTCGGACTTTTTGTCATTTTGATTAGCTGTGTTTGGGAATCCATAAAATCCCAAAAAAGAAAAGCTTTGTGGAATCTCTCAAAAGCCATTTTGTAAAGAAATAGTCGACCATTTTGATGAAAAAAAACGTGTATTTAAAGAAGGTTTTATGGGTGCAAAAAGTTTCTTTAAATTTCGGCGCCGACTCATTCTCCCCAACCCAATAGAACATTTAACCCCCTCATATTCGTGATATTCCCACCTTGACTAGAGCCGCAATTTCGACAATTGATTTGACTGCTCTGTGATTCTTTCTCGAGGTATCTATTGATCTTTTGGGTGTGTTTTGAGTGGTGTCCCGGGTATTTATTGTAATTTTGTTTTGTCGCTATTCAACTGAACAAAGCATATTTATATATAATTCAATTGAAGATAGTTTTTTTTGCTCAGAAAACTTTCCAATTTTCTGCCAAATGAGTTTTTTTTTTGGTTGTTTTTATGGTTATTTGATAAGTGAGAAGACTCTCGATTGATCACTGATCATTTCTATTCTTCGTTTTTCCTTTTATTTCTTTTATTTCTTTTATTTCTTTTATTTTACAATTTATTTAGTTTTTTCAAAGATGAAAGCTCAAAATGCGGTTCCGGATGGTGGTTGGGGCTGGGTAAGTGAGAGGAAATGCTTAAATTCATAAGAATGCTTAAATTCATAAGAACGCTTAAATTAATAAGAATGCTGAAGTTCATAAGAATGCTTAAATTGATAAGAATGCTGAAATTAATAAGAATGCTAAAGTTCATAAGAACGCTTAAATTAATAAGAATGCTGAAATTAATAAGAATGCTGAAGTTCATAAGAATGCTTAAATTGATAAGAACGCTTAAATTCATAAGAGTTTATATAAATTTGTATCTTTTTTATAAAATATATAAAAATATAGATAAAATCATAGATAAATTTGTCAAATTTTATTAGGTCATCGTTTTCGGTTCATTTCTTTTGCATATCGCAATGGATGGTTTTGTCTATCCACTTGGCGTCGTTTCCGAGGCACTCGTTACGGTAAAAAATCTTTCAATATACAGTACTGGACAATGAAATATGATATTTGAAAAACGATCGTCACTTTCGCGCGTCTGTAACTCCCTTGTCTTTGAGTTTAAACTATTAATGTTATACATTTTCTGAAAGCTCTTTTCAAGGGCTACACAATGGTAATATTAATATTTAGAAATGAGGTAAAGAGAAGGGAGTTACAGACGCGCGAAAGTGCGAAAGTGTTTTTTCAAATATGATATTTCATTGTCAAGTAGTGTAGATCATAAACACATTGAAAAGTTAAAAGAAAATGTGATTTAGCTTTTTGATTATATATGTCGTAGCCGCTTACGAAATTCAGCCGCTAACGAATGAGGGTATTTCCGGGCATCCAATCAAAAAGTCACCCACATAAAAAATGTTCATAATACATATATTTTATAATAAATTTTTGAAATTAGCTCATTTGGTTCAGTAGAAAATTTTTTTTGAGCCCCCAAAGTTTAGGTTCAAAAATGCCCTAAAATGGCTATAAAAAATTTTCTACTCAGCCAAAAAACTTGCCTAATAGCTCATCTTGTAGCCAATTTGATGTGGATTCTTAAAGTAAAGCTACATTGAATATTTGTTTTTCAAAGCTAGGAGAAAGAGGGCGAGGAACGACTTCAGTTGAGCTCGGTCGCTGTTTCCACCTTTGAGAATTGCCCTGAATTTGTTCCTCGCCCTCTTTCTCCTACTTTCAACGAAAAATTGTTTTAGATGGCTTTACTTTAAGAAACTACGTCAAATTGGCTACAAAATGAGCTATTAGGCAAGTTTTTTGGCTGAGTAGAAAATTTTTTATAGCCATTTTAGGGCATTTTTGAACCTAAACTTTGGGGGCTCAAAAAAATTTTTCTACTGAACCAAATGAGCTAATTTCAAAAATTTATTATAAAATATATGTATTATGAACATTTTTTATGTGGGTGACTTTTTGATTGGATGCCCGGAAATACCCTCATTCGTTAGCGGCTGAATTTCGTTAACGGCTACGACATATAGATACCTTTAAAAACTTACCTACAGGAATTCGCCTCAACAACAACGATTTCCGCGTTGATGTTGGCTCTTTTAACGGGGATTACGTTAGGAGTCGGTGAGTTTAAAACTGAAAGTGTACAAGATATTGTCTAAAAACTTTGCTAATAGCTTAAAATGTCTAGATATTGCTTAGAAACTTTGCTATAAGCTTAAAATGAACTGGATATTGTCTAAAAGCTTTCTAAAAGATTAAAATATACTAGAAATTGACAAGGAACTTTGCTGAAAGCTTAAAACGTCTAGAAACTGATTAAAAACTCAGCTAAAAGCTTAAAATATACTAGATATTGATTAAAATCTTTGCTATAAGCTAAAAATGTAGTGGAAACTGTCTAAAAACTTTGCTATAAGCTTAAAATGAACTGGATATTGTCTAAAAGCTTTCTAAAAGATTAAAATATACTAGAAATTGACAAGGAACTTTGCTGAAAGCTTAAAATGTACTAGAAACTGTCTAAAAGCTTTGCTAAATGCTTAAAATAAACTAGATATTGTCTAAAAACTTTGCTAATAGCTTAAAATGACTAGAAACTGATAAAAAGCTTTGCTAAAAGTTAAAACTTTATAGCTATTTGACTGAAAACTTCACTAAAAGCTTAAAATGTCTAGAAACTGTCTAAAAACTTTGCTATTTGTTTAAAACATCAAAAGATTTATTATTTTAAAATATTAACCTACAAAAAGTCCGTTATTTACTTAAAATCCTTTATTTGCAGGTCCCTTGGCCTCAGCTTTAACCACTCGATTTGGATGTCGACTCACCGTCATCTCTGGCGCTTTTTTAGCAGCTTTAGGGTAAATTGATAGTAAAGTTTAATAAAAACTGTATATAAATTGCTATATTTTGCAAAAACCGTTCCCTTTTCAATTTTGGCTTCAGAAGTTTCCTCTCAGCATTCGCTTCTTCAATGTGGATGATCACATTTTTCGTCGGTGTGCTTATTGGGGTCGGCTGTGGTTTAATCTATTGCCCAGCTGTGCTCATCGTGACGATTTACTTTGAGAAGTTGGCAAAGGCTTTAAAAGAATCTACTTTGGTTGAAAATTGTTGATAGATTAGAGATGGAAAGCTGGATTTAAGCTATAGGAATCTAGAATAACGACGATACATTCTGTTAGGGTGATGCAAAAGAAATTGCCGATTTGACGGTAAATTCAAAAAAAAAAGATGGCGTTCGATGGTGACATGATCACAATGGAATATTTTCGCAAGATCTCGAGCAGATTGGCATGGATTGACATGGATCGGCCTGAATAACGTCCCTCCGCTTGGCTTCGTTCACGACTTCTGGCATCGAACCGTGCTCGTAATCTTCCAAAGTCTCGTCTCCCTCTCGGAATCGTTGAAACCAAGTCTGACACTGATATCCAGCTGATGAGCATACAAGTCCGCAGTGACCGTTTTTCCATGTTCCAGTAATTCAAAGTACACCAAACCCTTGCTGTTCCACCATACAGACAATAAGATGAAACCTTGGAGTTGAAACAGCACGTTGGCCGGCGCTCAGCCACTGTCGTTCTTGCGTAAAGTTGTCGTATGCAATCCATTTCTCATCCGATGTCACGATAGAATCAAGAAATCCGCTATTCTTTGCATGCTTCAGGAGAATGCCAGCGATGAAAATGCGGGATGCGAGGTTAGGATCACTGAGTTGATGAAGGACCCATCTTCCACAACGACTTTTCTTTCCAATAGCGTGAAGATGGCGTTCGATGGTGACATGATCACAATGGAATATTTCTCGAGCAACAATGGATCTCGAGCAGATTGGCATGGATCGGCCTAAATAACGTCCCTCAGATTGGCTTCGTTCACGACTTCTGGCATCGAACCGTGCTCGTAATCTTCCAAAGTCTCGTCTCCCTCTCGGAATTGTTGAAACCAAGTCTGACACTGCCTGAGAGACAAACTGCCATCTCCGGCAGCAGCACAGAGAGAACGATAAGCCTGTTTAGAGCCTCTAAACCTGTCTAGAGCCTCTAAGCCTGTCTAAAGCCTGTAAGCCTGCAAGCCTGTAAGCCAGACTAGGCGGCAGACTTTCCAATTTTGAAGTTAAACAGTAATGCTGCTCGTAGCACAAACTTTTGCTCGACCATGATCGAAATAAAAAATATAAGCATTTTTAAATAAAATAAAAAACAACCAAGAAATTCAAATGTCAAAATAAATAGCAAACAAATATGCGAACAAAACATAAAAAAAAATAATGCCGTTAGCATCGCTGGTTTCTGATAAATGAGAGCTGATACCCGTCGGCAGTTTCTTTTGCACCATCCTAATAGAATCGAGAATGTATCGACGAGCTCATCCCGCTGACTATCTTTTCCAAAGTCTTTTGAATGAAAGAAAAGAAAGCCAAAGAAGATAGAGAATCTAGGGAGACAATCTGGACAATAGGAATCTAGAATAACGACGACTAAATCTAGAATGTATCGTCGAGCTCATCCTTTAAACTAAAGTAATCCAATAAAGTGATGAAAAAAGTGTTTCCAGAAAGCGTTCGTTAGCCACAGGGATGATGGCTTGTGGAGCTGGGGTGGGCACGATTCTCTTTGGTCCAATCGACGATTTCGTCGTTCGAACCTACGGATGGAGAGGCTTTTTCTTTATGTTTTCAAGTAAATTTATAATAAAATAAAATATAAATATGACAAGAATAAATGTAAAGATAAAGAAAAAGATAAAAAGGATAAAAAAGATCGCTTTTCTAATGTTTTTTGATCAAAAAATCAATCTAAATAGCTTTATTTTCAGTTCTTTTCATCGCTTGCTCACTCGTCGGCGTCACTTTTCGTTCGTTTGAGAAAAATCAATTAAAAGATGTTTATTTTAAAAGATTTAAACGGAAATCTATTCAAATTATAGGTAGAAAGCGATGAATTTTTACGAGAATCTCCAGAAGTTAAATCTATTGAAGAGTTGGTTAAAGAAATTTCATCTAAACGAGAAACTTTCAGAAGCCAACAAAACAACAAAGATTTACTTAAATCTTCAACATTTTTACTCTACTTGATCTCTTTTCTAATGACATGCATTGGATATAATTCACCGATATATTTCTTGCCGAAGAGAGCACAAGAGGCTTTGGGACTCACGTCAAGTGATGCGGCGTGGATACTCTCCATATATGGTAACCATGCAAATTGAAACTATGAAAAGACGCAAGGACAGGGTTACTAGTTTACAACCTGTGAGTCTGTAAGCCTGCAAACTTGTAAGCTTGTCTAGAGCCTGTAAGCCTGTCTAAAGCCTGTAAGCCTGTCTAGAGCTTGTAAGCCTGCAAGCCTGTAAGCCTGTCTAAAGCCTGTAAGCCTGTCTAGAGCTTGTAAGCCTGCAAGCCTGTAAGCCTGTCTAAAGCCTGTAAGCCTGTCTAGAGCCTGTAAACCTGTCTAGAGCCTGTAAACCTGTCTATAGCCTATAAGCCTGCAAGCCTGTAAGCCTGTCTAGAGCCTGTAAACCTGTCTATAGCCTATAAGCCTGCAAGCCTGTAAGCCTGTCTAAAGCCTATAAGCCTGCAAGCCTGTAAGCTTGTCTAAAGCCTGTAAGCCTATCTAGAGCCTGTAAGCCAAGTGCCTGTAAGCCGGCTCCTCTAATCGACACTCAAAATTTGAATGGCACTCATTTCTGCAATCTAAGGCCCAGGCCCAGGCTAGGAATAAGAACTTTTTCTGAGCTAAGCCTTCAGTAAAACCAATTCAGACCAAGATCTGGCTTCTGGCTGGCCCAAAATATTGGTTTAAACAACCCTGGACCAGGATCAGACTAAGTATTCTACTTTAGGAACAGAAACTTTCAGAAATTACTTTACTAACTTTAAGATACTTCAGAAACTTAAAAAAAATGAAACCCAATTGTTCTTAAAGTTTTGTGAGAAAAACACTAGAACTTGTTGATCTTTTGCAGAGTGACCCACAATTATAGCGTCACTTCAGAGTCTAGATTGCTCAAAATTGAGTCAATTGTTGTGATTTTTCTGGAGGTAAATCTAGAGTAGCGTGCCGATCAACACTTGGCTATCAACTTTGGAAAGTTATATGAAAAAGTTAAAAGCTTGAATCGTTTAGATAATTGGCACCATTCTAGGAGATATACTTAAGATTTATTTTCAGGAAAATCACAAAAATTGGTTCAATTTTAGGCAAAAAAAGCCACACTTCAGTACTTAGATTTCAACACTTCAGTACTTAAAAAAGCCACACTTCAGGCTTAGCGCCTTGATTCAATTTTGGGAAATCTAAGTACTGAAGTGTTGCTATAATTGTGGGTGATTGTGTGCTTTTACGTTAAACTGTCTAACAGGCTAACGTAAAAGGCTAACGTAAAACTGTCTGACGTTAAACTGTTGACTGTTGTTGTTGTTGTTGTTGTTGTTGTTAAACTGTTGCTAGACAGTCTAGCGTTAAGCTGTCTAACGTTAAACTGTCTAACGTTAAGTTGTCTAGCATAAAAGTCTAACGTCAAACTGTCAAACGTTAAACAGTCTAACGTTAAACTGTCAAACGTTAAGCTGTCTAACGTTGAACTGTTGAGTGTTGTTGTTGTTGTTAAACTTTCAAACGTTAAACTGTCGAACGTTGAGCTGTTGACTGTTATTGTTGTTGTTAAACTGTTGTTAGACAGTCTAACGTTAAGCTGTCTAACGTTAAGCTGTCTAACGTTAAACTGTCTAACGTAAAAGTCTAACGTTAAACTGTCTAACTTTAAACTATCTGACGTTAAGCTGTCTAACGTTAAACTGTCTAACATTAGACAGTTTAACGTCAAACTGTCTGACGTTAAACTATCTAACGTAAAAGTCTAACGTTAAGCTGTCTAACGTTAAGCTGTCTAACGTCAAACTGTCTAACGTTAAACTGTCTAACGTTGAACCGTTGAGTGTTGTTGTTGTTAAACTGTTGTTAGACGGTCTAACGTTAAACTGTCAAACGTTAAACTGTCTAACGTAAAAGTCTAACGTTAAATTGTCTAACGTTAAATTGTCTAACGTTAAGCTGTCTAACGTTAAGCTGTCTATCGTTAAGCTGTCTATCATTAAGCTGTCTAACATTAAACAGTTAATGAATGATTCCTTTAGGTGTCAACAATACAATCGGCCGTTTCGTTCTCGGTTGGATCGGTGATAAAGAGTTCACCTTTCTACCGTCAGATATTGGAAAGGATAAGCCGAGAAATCGTCTTTTCCTTTACATTTGCTGTCTTACGGTAATCTAGATGGATTTTCTGATAAAAGAAATTTCAGTTATGCGGTTTTCTTTGCATTGGAGTTGGGTTCTTTCAAAGCTTTTTGACTTTATGCATTTTTGCTGGGATTTTCGGATTTTTGTAAGTTTTTGACAAGTTTTTGACAAAGATCAAATTCATTTTGTTGTACTTTTTGCTTAAATTTGTAAATCCAAATGTAAACGTTTCCTTCTAGCACACTGAATTCTTCATTTTTCTTACTTTCTTACTTTATTTCTTTAGAAAAAAGGAAAAAAAAAGATTTAAGTGCACTAGAGATCTTTTTTTTGCAAGTTTTGTTCACAAAATACTGCTTTTCAGGCTCGCAGCCGCTGTCTCATTAGTATCAGTGATTCTCGTTGATTTGGTGGGAATCGAGAAGATTGGAAGTGCTTTCGGAATCGTTCTCGTTGCACAGGCAAGACCAATCAATTTTAGTAATCAATTTCTCATATCTGGAACGCACAAAAGGTTTTGGTCACGAATTTGGGTTTACTGGTGACGATTTTGATTATAAAGCTAGGCTATCCTGAAGACTTTGAATAGAAATATCGGTTATTCTGGAGTTCACAGAATGTTGATAACAAATTTGCGCTATCTAGAGGGCACAGAATGTTTTGGTAACAAATTAGAGCTATCTAGAGTTCACAGAATGTTTTGGTAACAAGTTAGAGCTATCTGGAAAGCACAGAGAGTTTTGATAACAAACTAGAGCTATCTGGAGTTCACAGAATGCTTTGATAACAAGCTAGAGCTATCTGGAGCGCACAGAATGTTTTGATAACAAATTAGAGCTATCTAGAAGGCACAATAGTTTTCTGAAAACTTTTCAAAGCTCTGGCATCAGTTGAGCCATTCCATTTATTAGAAAAAACGTTTGAGAAATCGAAACCATCAAGCAATAAGTCTAAAGACTAAGTTTACTAACAAAGTTTTCGCAGAAGAAAGAAAATTTCAGGCAATCGGAACTCTGATCGGTCCACCAATAGCCGGATGGCTATCGGATTTGAGCGGTGATTCTCTGTGGTCTTTCGTCTTTTCTGGTCTTAATCTCACATTTTCTGGCGTAATTCTGCTTTTACGATTTGCAAATTTAAAAAACCTTTTATTTATAAGTGAACCCGCGAATTGATATGGATTTTTTTTTCTTAAATATTGCACAGAGAAATGAATGAATAAAAGAAATTTTACTCAAAAACTTGTATGTGAGGAACACGGCGAGGCTCGTGAAGCATCTTTTTCAGCATTCCTTTTTGATCTTTTACTGCACAAGCCTGAAAAATTGATTTTAAAAATGAAAACTGATTAGTAAATCAATTGTAATAGTATTAATTGTTTTAAAATAACATTATTGGCTTAAAGATTCAAGGCAGTGTTCAGTGTTTACGGTGACTTCTTTTTAGTAGCTCCCAACTACAAGTTTAGTCTTACATTGTTAAGTGTTATATAATAAATTAAAGCCCTTAATCTTGCCTACATTTATCTACAAAAAGTTTCCCGATTGGGAATCTATTAGGTTGATGCATAAGTCTTTTCGTTCCTTTTCGTCTGCCGTTTCAAGCCAACAAATGCACCAATTAAACTACGGTTGATTTCATTAGAAAAAGCAATTATTTTTCTGCAAAATAACATTAAAACGGGTTTAAAAATATTTTATGCCTGGATTTTCTTGAGAGTATGAAGTCGGGTAGTCAAAAAGGGCTAACTCGATGATGCGGTTTAGGCTCAGGCTCAGGCTCAGGCTCAGGCTAAGCCTCAGCCTAAGCCTGAGCCTGAGCCTGAGCGGTTTAGACACCTTAGCTAAAAAAAACCTATCTTCGTGTCAATAGATAAAAGATAGAGAAAAAAAACGTTTGATATTTCGCCAAAATTTCAGAGAAATTCATTGAGCCAATTTTTCCGTAGAGTTTTTTATAGATTTTTACGAAAAAGGCGTTTTTCACTCTCGAATTTGCTTGAAAGTGAACCGAAATTCATTTAAAAAGATGCAAATTGAACAAAAAAAACACTTTTTTTGATAGAGCAAACTATAGATTAATTCGTGAATTTGTTACTTTTTAACAGAAGTACGAAAAAAACGAAAACACTTATGCATCAACCTAATATAAAGGGATTAAGACGTCTGCCTGCCTGCCTGCCTGCCTGCCTGCCTGCCTACCTGTCTGTCTGCCTGTCTGTCTGCCTGTCTGTCTGTCTGTCTGTGCGCGCTACTCCTCAGCCCCCAGAGGACCAATTTGCAATGATTTTTGCGCCGTTGAATAAGGAATTAAATGTAGTTGTGCATTGTGCTTTTGGATTTTTTTAAAAACACAATTCGAGTCGCACGGGGAGGTCGAACCCGGATCGTATGGGCGATAGACCGGCGCGCTATCCACTGCTCCACGGTGACAAAAGCCGTCAATCCCCAAAACATCGAGAAAAACTCAGTTTCTCAGTTTCTGAGCTGGTGCTTCTATAAGCTAGTCTAGAAGCTAGAAATCCTTTCTTCTGATGGGGGCTAAGGATTTTGAAGGGCCAAGACTAGAGCTATCTGCCATACGGTAGCCAGTTTGACGGCTCTATACTTTAGAAAAGATTATAGTCGACTTTTTCGCCACCAACCATATCCATATTTTTCGGGATAAACTTCTTGAGGCTCGTTATGATATTCTTCACCGGGCACATTCCTTCATCTGGACATCCATCGATTGTGTTCGTGAAATCGTGGAATTTTGGATCAACCGAGTTGTACGAGTAGAGGAACTGGAGAGATTTTTTGAGTTAAGCCTTCATTGAAAAGCCTAAGCCTAAAAAACTGGCTGAGATCCAGAAAATGGGGGTTCAGCCCAAACCCAAATAGACTTAGTGCGAGGCGCTAGCCGCTAGCCTTCGCACTAAGCCTAAGCCTAAGCCTAAGCCTAAGCCTAAGCTAAGCCTAAGCCTAAGCCTGAGCCTAAGCCTAAGCTAACCCTAAGCCTAAGCTAAGCCTAAGCCTAAGCCTAAGCTAAGCCTAAGCCTAAGCTAAGCCTAAGCCTAAGCCTAAGCTAACCCTAAGCCTAAGCTAAGCCTAAGCCTAAGCCTAAGCTAAGCCTAAGCCTAAGCCTAAGCTAACCCTAAGCCTAAGCTAAGCCTAAGCCTAAGCCTAAGCCTAAGCAAAGTAACGATCAAAACAAAACAACTAAAACGATCAAAAAGTTATTCAGCTATCTACCTTAACCCTCAATTGCCCATCATCCATTTTCCAGAGCTCGAAAACCATTGTCGCCGCATAATCGGGCCAATCGTTCTCCAAAATGTCGTATTGTGTTCGTTTCCCAAGTGCTGTCAAAACGGCTAATAGGGTTGAATCATGCTGAAATTTCATTTATGAATCAATATCTAAATATTAGTTAAATATAAGAAACAAACCGCTGAATAGGCAGTATATTTGTGGGTGGAGTTTTGAGTGAAATTTGAGATCAACGCTTTAAGCATTGGGCCGGCTCGGAGCGCGACGACGAGCTCATTTCGTTCACCGTTCAATTCTAAAGATTCCAATTTTAGGAATTGCTACGAAAAGGATGTTGGAGAAGGTTTACAATAGATGTTAATAGATTTGTCACGAAAACATCTGTCAATCCTTTTTTGCCGTTGGCAATTTAAGGTTTTCCTTGTTTTTCTCAGCATCAACCCTTTGGTTTTGATTATTTTGACTATCATTCGATGCAGAAGAGAATTGCGCATCGAATGATACCAAAATGAGCTCAGAAGCTAATACCCATGTAAAGTTATGAGGCAAAAACCTAAACCATGTCCATTATGGGCGGGGCTTCGGCTAAGCCCTGCCCATAATGGACGCATCAACCCTTCAATTTTGACTATCATTCGATGCAGAAGAGAATTGCGCATCGAATGATACCAAAATGAGCTCAGAAGCTAATACCCATGTAAAGTTATGAGGCAAAAACCTAAACCATGTCCATTATGGGCGGGGCTTCGGCTAAGCCCTGCCCATAATGGACGCATCAACTCCTTCAATTTTGACTATCATTCGATGCAGAAGAGAATTGCGCATCGAATGATACCAAAATGAGCTCAGAAGCTAATATCCATGCAAAGTTATGCATAGCCGAAGCCCCGCCCATAATGGACATGGTTTAGGTTTTTGCCTCATAACTTTACGTGGATCTTACATTTTGAGCTCATTTTGGTATCATTCGATGCGCAATTCTCTTCTGCATCGAATGATAATCAAAACAGTTAGTAGAAATAGTAGGGTTAATGCTGAGAAAAACAAGGAAAACTTTAAATTGCCACCGGGAAAAAGGATTGACAGACGTTACAAGCTTAATGTTAAGTATGGATCGGTTCAGGGGAAAGAAGTCTAACCAGATCTAGGCAAGCTTTCGAGATGAGAGCTTTTTTGCGCGCTGCATCGTGTACAAGTTTCATTTCTGCAACGAACCGTGTCCCCATTGATAATCGAAATATTTATTGATCGCCCATCTGGCCTCAGTCAAGCGCTCAAGCGTCAGCCAATCGGGAAACGTCAAATTTTGCTCTTTCTGAAGTTAGAAAATTCCAGTTATTCTTTTAATAATTTAAAAGCGATTTTTATTTTCTTTAAACTTTACCGCACAAATCATCGCGTCAACGAACGGGTTCAGTTCCAATAAATTTCTCCATTTCTCGCCCGTATTCGCGACAAAATCCGTGATGATTTCCTGAATTTTCTCGTGATTTCCTTCCAAATCTATGATTTTTTTATGTTTTTACTTTATCATTATAATAAAATATCATTTTTATTTAATTTCTTGCCTGATATTGTTCTTCAAATTCTTTAAATGGGCGTGATTTAGGTTTTTAGCCAATAACTTTACGTGGATATTAGGTTTTCAGCTGATTTTGGTATCATTCGATGCGCAATTCTCTTCTGCATCGAATGATAGTCAAAATTGAAGGGTTGATGCGTCCATTATGGGCGGGGCTTAGCCCATAATGGACATGGTTTAGGTTTTTGCCTCATAACTTTACATGGATATTAGCTTCTGAGCTCATTTTGGTATCATTCGATGCGAAATTCTCTTCTGCATCGAATGATAGTCAAAATTGAAGGGTTGATGCGTCCATTATGGGCGGGGCTTAGCCGAAGCCCCGCCCATAATGGACGTGCTTTAGGTTTTTGCCTCATAACTTTGCATGGATATTAGGTTTTGAGCTCATTTTGGTATCATTCGATGCGCAATTCTCTTCTGCATCGAATGACAGTAAAAAATAGTCAAAACCAAAGGGTTGATGCTGAGAAAAACAAGAAAAACCTTAAATTGATGATTTTCCGAATTTTTTTTGATTCAAATCTATGATTCTTTATGATTTATTTATTTCCCTTTATCATTAGAATATCATTTTTATTTAATTTCTTGCCTGATATTTTTCTTCAAATTCTTTAAAAGCCGGTAATTGTGCTCGCTCGTCTTTTGTTTGAGTGTAACGCGGGCAACCTTGACCTGGCTCGAAAATCTAAAGAATTTTCAAATTTTTAAAAGATAAGTGTGCTAGATGCTTAACGTTTCCGATAACTTGGTAAACTCTCGACATTTGGCGCATTAAACGAATTTCAATGCGCTAGTTGGCGAGAGTTTTCACGCGCACAAAGTTCACCGAGCAGTGAGGCTAATTGTGAAGGGTTTTAAGCTATAAAAGCATCAAGAAAAGCTATCAAAATATGATTTTAAAATATCAAAAATAACCAGCAATAAGAAATCTATAATTTTCTATTTAAAAAGCTGAATAATTTGAAATTCTTACTCGATCCGGATAGGTTCCTGTGTGAATGGGGACGGGCATCCAATTGAAAGGCCAATCCTAGAAGAAAATAGAGTCTAATCATTAAAAATAGAGTCTAATCGAATTTCTATAGATAAAATATAGCTAAATCTCTAAAAAAAGTATCTAACTAAAGCTTTTTTCGTGCAAAAAAACTAACTCGAATCTTTAAAAGTTCTTTAAAATTTTTTCCTCTTTAAAAGTACATCTTTAAGTTTTTCCTGAATAAGAATTTGCAAATTTATAAATTTATTCTATAGATTTCTATCTATAGATATATTTAGACAATACTAAATACTCTATTTTTCGAAATACTCACCTCTCCTAGCTCAGGATTACTGTAGA